TGTCTAAATGTTTTGTATGTCTGAGCACTTTTGGCTCATAAAATAAACCAAACTTTTATTTAAGTTTATTTGTACATTACTAGAGGCACAGTGGAGTAATGGATAGTGGCTCAGATTGAAGAATCGAAGAACAGTCTGAATTCCAGTGGAGTTCATGACATTCACTTATGTGCTAATGCTCTTGGAAATGGTATGAGCCCATCTCTTCTTCCCCACCTCAGCTATGAGCAAATAGCAGGTCAGACTGGGTCCTATAGCTTTGGGTGGTAACCAATCTAGGAGAAGGTCAACTCTGAATTCAAAACCTAATGTGCCAACCGAGGGTGGCACACACCATATTCTGTGGTCTTCAGCTATCGGTCAAGAGCTTGGAGACAAAATGGATACCACGAAGTTATCTGAATGTGTACTGATATGATCGTGAGGAAGAAGAAGAATCAAAATTTGTCCTTCTGCTTTTAGGTTCCCCCCCACCCCTGACAAGAGGATTGAAACCATCAAGAGTTAAAAAAAAAATTTAAATTGTACATTTGTGTACCAAATACAAGTGCCAGCATGATTAAATTATTTCCTTTAATTTTTCTCCCACCCCCACCAGGACAGTGTTTATTTGGTACCACATGATTATTTTGTTCTTTGACTCACATAAAAATTCCTGTTGAAATATTTATCTGAATGTCCAAGCTTATTTTGTAAGTTGAAAAATTACCACAAACATTATTGTTCCAGATGCCACCTGTATTTGGTACAAAAAGTAGTTAGAAAAAAATATTCTTGATGGTAATGATAATGATTCAAATGACTTAGCCATTACATTATAAGGAAGCATTTAGTATCCATTGACTGAACAGCCAGTGTTACTCTATTCAAGTTTTTCTTCACTCTCTGGTCATCATGCTAGGATCAAAGTGTAGTATCTGCAGATAAACTACATTTTATATCTTTATTGTGTTCCTGTCTTCAGGCAGAGTGCAACTGAAAATATTATTGAGAAGTGATGCCAGCACAACTAACAATTGTGGAAATTGGGCTATTTTTTGGTCTGGCTTGTTTGACTTCCGTCGTTGCACCAAAGAGAGGGTTGGTGAGTTATCAGAGCCAGCTAGATAATGGTCGTGCAATTTGGGGCCTTAGTTCATGCACAGGCATTTGGGCTCCCCTCTTTAAACTGGCCTTGTGCCATATCCGGTCACCATAAGGAATTATAAACTTAACATTCATTTTTTAAAACAATAATAGATTTTTAATTAATTTTTAACAATATTTATTTGTTGAATATTCAATAAAAAAATTTCATTTTTATCTCATTTTATAAAAGCAAATACTGAAGACCATTTTAATTTCATTTTTGGTGATTTTTGTTTTAAGCAAATTGAAACTGGGCAATAATGATGTGCAATTTTGTTAGTTATTCATTGATTCGTTTTCTATGTTCTTTCAACACTTTGCAGGTTATTTAAAGCCAGAAAACAGTTTTAAATGGCAAGAATATTTTTTTGACAATAATAATAATTTCATGATACAAGTCCTTAATTAACCCATAGCTGGGGGGAAAGAGGTGGATTCATACCTTTCCTAAGGGTATTTGCACTTAAGTGAATATAACAAACCTAACTGGAATTGGAACCCAGTTCTCCATTATTAGGATTTGAGATATAAAATTTTTTATTCTTACATACATTTTCTAAAGAAATTATGTATTTTTTTTATTTATTACACTAACATTTTTTACACTAACAATTTTTTTTTCTTTTTTAGATAATGATTTTTCCAGATATAAATTGTACTATTTAACTAATAGGTGGTGGGAGAAGATAGTTTTCTACCATTTCCAAGAGTATTTATTTGATTGTAAGTGAATATAATGAATCCAACTGGAATTAGGACTTGGCTCACCAACTTCCAATTCTGAGCCACTATCCATTACACCACCTGCACATTCCATTTTGTCAAATTTAATCTATATTTATTTTAATGATAAAGTGTGAATATTTTAATAGTTATTTTATGTTTACTAGAGATTTTCAAAAAATTTATATGTACTATATCTTTCAAATGTTATAATGCATCAATTAACAACATTTTTTTTTGTAACAGTGATGGAATCTGGGTGTGGTGCAATCTTAAGACCTGAGTATGATCTATGCATTGTGAGGAAAAAAAAATTATTTTATTAGATAAAAAAAAGAAAAGCACAAAATGTGAGAACTATTGTTCTAATCTTGGTTGATATAGATTATATAGACAATGTTTCAACTAAGTACCCTCTGGTCATCATCAGAATATCCATTACTTGGCTGATATGAGATATCTGTTGATTATTGTAATAATGTGTCCCTATTGTTCATTTTTGCTTTTTTGTGTGTCAGTACCAGATTGAGGGATTGAACTCATGACCACTAGCTGACAGTAATGCATGTATAACCAACTCATATATCTACTATCTTGAAGTTTTGTGTTTTTGGAGGCTTTTATATTCAATGTCAGATGGGTTTGACATATGGTTATGATGACAGATTCATGTTGCTTTTCATAATTTAGTATTTCATTTCTGAGATGAGTAATTGTTAATATTCTTGTATTATTTCAAAGTGTTGTTCTCATCTTGAGAAAAAAATGTGAAAACTAGTTCTGTTATTTAAGATGCCTCAGCATAAACTCAAATGGCAGAGACTGAAATTAATACACAAATGCAGAGGTGCTGAAAACTTCTCAAACTGACCCACTTCTCAAAATGTGAGCAAATAAGCAAACCACTCATTCTTCACTCCAATGATTCAACAGCTGAGTAACAACTGCATTTGTTTGTTTTATTGTGTTTTCAGTATATTAGCCTAGAGTCATGAAAGATTCTGGGCAGAAGCCATGCTGAATTTTTTGTGTGTTGTTCTTAAGTGTAGGTCAATTGCTTAAGATAACACTCTGAAACTATTGTTTAGTTATCAAGTTCAGAGTTCATGCAGAGATATCATTCCATGAATTATTCAGATTATGTTTTTTTTTTTTTTTTGATGATTTGGACATTACACTTACAGTCTACCTTTAGGTTAAATTCCATGTCGTAATTTTAAAGAAGGAAGCTTTGAACAGAGAATATTTATCTCATCAACAAATTAAAAAAACCCAAAAAAAACAAGTGTATATGTTTCATTTTCAATACTGCCTTTATTTGATTTTTTTATTTTACAGTTTTTCTGGGTACTTATCTCCCCCAAACCAAAATTAACAAATGTGTTTCCGTCCGGTCATTTTTAAGGTCATTGAACTGTTCTTGTTGTAAATAACGATAAAAATAAGAAATGAATTATAGCCTTCCTTATGATTATGCAAGGTTTCTTTGTTTTTGTTCAGACGCGTATATGAAATAATAATAATAAATATCATAATTTAAAAAAAAAAAAAAAAAAAATATTGTGACGTAATAATAATCACCATAAACTGGAACAGGTGTCCGCTGGCGAAAGGCATGCTGATTTAATTTGAAATTTTATATCAGAACTGACATTTAAAAAAAATTATATAAAATTTCTGTTATTTTACTTAAAAAATTCATTCTAAATTTTTGTTCACGTTCAGCGTCAGCTTGCTTGAATTTTAATAAAATTTTACTACACTACAGTATTTTTAATCTTCATGGACAAGGCGAACAAATGGATGTCAATTTATTTTATTGTTTTTAATTTTAAATAATTTTCCCATTTTCTATATTTATGTAGACAATATTTACAAATGTAGGAGGGTAAAAAAAAAAAAAAAAAAAAAAGTTTTCAATTTTCTTAAGTGACTCATTATTTGATTATTTTATTTAAGTTTTATTTAACATTATCTTTTTTTTTTCAAGGATTTTGCTCGGGGCATCAAAGAACTTCAAATTTGCCAATCTAGTAATTTTAGTTAAGTTGTTAATTTTTTTTTCAACGTGTCAGAAACACAGAAGACAGTGAAACGAACTATTTTTCTTTTACTAAGGATGATTAAAAAGTATTTGTTGACAAATTTTCTTTATTCTTCTTAATGAAGGCTTCAAATAAAGAAAGAGAAAAGTTGTAAATTTAAATAAAAAGACAAGGAACAAGAGAGACTAGAGATTGTTTTGGGAGTTTTTCAAATATTTTTCTTGTAAAAACTAGTTTTATTTTAAGATTTTTAAACATTTATTTACAAAACGTGTGGTATAATTCAAAAATAGAAAAGTAAATTTCACTTATTCATTTTTTCCTTTAAATGTTAATTGTCAATTTATTAGTTTTAGATTATTTTTAAATAAATGCTAGAAAATTAGCTTTAAAATAAAAATGATAAAGAAAAAGAGGAAAAATATTGAAAATAGTCGACAAATGTCTGAATCTTTTCAACAGACCTGTTTACGACAATGTGGCTTTGATTTTACAATAAAACCTCCAACTCCAGATGTTTAGTTTAATTAACAATGAAATATTTATTTTATCAGTTAAGTAAAAATCGTTAAGAAACAACTTTAAAACAAAAAGTAATCAGTAAAAAAAAATTAAACATTATTTACTAAAAAGACAAATTCTTTTATTTTTATCGAAGGAGATTTATGTATAAACAAAAATAAACACATTTTATGTTTTTTTTTTAATTATTTCTTTTGAAAATTACTAAAAATGATTTATGAAGTTGAATGTTAAAAATTGTTACATTTTTTTAAAGAAATTTTATTTAAAAACAACCTACAACTGGCATCTCAAAGAAAATTATTTTTTTTTTAGAGTTTTATTTTCTTCTTTATTTTCAATATCAAAATTATTTTATTAAAAAGAAAATTTTAAAAAATACTTGAAAAATCAAAAACAAGAAAAACTGATCGAGTGTGTTTTTAAAAAGACAAACTTAGTTAAAATAAAAAACACGAAAAAAAAATATCAGACTGTATTTAAAGTTTGTATAAGCAACTGTTCTTTCTACTGTGTGTACCGTATTAAAGATACACACATACGTAAAATTATCTGTTTATATAGGCAAATTATGTGCTTTACCTTCGTCATTCCGACCCCAATGACATAAACCTTGTGGTTAGTAGAGCAAGAAGAGGCAAGAACCGGCGCCATGTTGTTATTGAAGTGGCGATAGTAAGACTAATATTTAAAAGGATTTTGTTGTTACGCTGCCTCTACACAAACAACTGATGCTTGTGTCTGGAATCGAATGATTCGCATCTGGCTTTTATAGTTTTATATACATATATAACCAGAGAGATAGATATCTACAAATATACGCTCTCTTTTAGTTTCCCTCTCTCACAACAATCACCACCACTCCCGCCAACACAAAAAGAAAACGTAACTAACATAATCTTATGTCGCTATTTATCTCACAGTGTCTCTTCCTACTATATTGTTACTATTACCAAAGTCAAATATTAAACTTTAATAATTAAAGTAATCAAAATAATATTAATCGAACCTCATAAAAATTAGTGACTATTTTATTTTCCTCAACATTAAAAAAATGTACCTCACTAATTCTTGGGAGTGGACTTGCTAGAGTTCAATTATTAACCTTTGGCTTTAAAACCATAATAATGCAAAAAGGGCAAACAATCTGTCCCCTTATTTCCGCACACACCAAGGAATGAATGATGATTCACTGAGGAGTTATATAGTCTCTCTCTATTATTTTTTTTTATGACGAGTTGAAACCAATATGTACAACAGGCTTGAATTTGAAGGACGGTCCCAACTCCCTATGAAGTTGTTTATTTAGTTCTCAGTCTCACTCCGCCCTGACTACAAACTTATAGTTTATTTAAAACAAGTGATCTGGAAACATCTAGGGATCACTACTAGCTGTTGGCAGTGCCGGATTTAGATAAAATGAGGTCCAAGGCTATTCCACTTGTGAAGCCCCTCCCAATCGCTGACTTTATAAAAACCTATAATAACAATCAAACAAAAATATAATTAAATAAACCTTTGCTGGCATTCCCCCCCAACCACACCTAGATTTTGAGACCCTACCAAGCCTATAGGTAAATCTCACCCTATCTATCAGTCATTATTATTGATTTAAACATACCTTTGCAATGTACAAACTTGTTAAATCTTGCCTTATTTTATTAAATATTATTTTTTGTGGATACCCATATTTGATTAGACACTCTGTTAAATTGTTTAAACTATATTTATTTATTTTTGTCTACCAGCCTCAATATTTGAAAAATCTTATCAGAGAAAAATATGCACTCTCCAGCAGGATCCAAACCTGTGTCCCCCTTGGCAGGAGAAACTGTTGTTAGATCCAATGTGCTTTTGACCGTCTCAGCCATGAAGTGTGTCAATGATCAAGCAAAGTGCAACAGTGCCTTAAAAATGCAAATCATTCTTAGTCTCCCAAAACATTCATATTTGCTCAGTTTTATATCCTATCATAAGGGTTAAACTTCACCAAATAAGCCTGGTAGTTGGGATGATTGGTTTAGTTGTCAATTACCTGACAATGCAGACGTATGGATAGTGTAACAGTTGGCATGAAAAGTAAAATCGACAAGTTGAGTTCTGGTTGATTCTATTTTGTTTATATCATGCTAATGCTCTTGATAAAGGCATGAATTCATCTTCCTGCTATGGGTTAAATAGCAGAGCAGTCTTGAGTGGCAACCTGTCTAGGAGAAGGAAAACTCTGAATTCAAAACCAGGCTGAAGAGAGATGTGGTACATCAGGATATCTTTCCCAAGATACACTACTGCAGCTACAGTACATGTGGTGTCCCTACAACCCTAATGCATCACAATAATTGTGACATAACCAAAACATGTGGTAGGTAGGACTGTGTTATATCTGCGGCATAGCTAGAATATGTGTTGCCTGGGACAGTTCTTGAATTTTCTACTGGCAGCCCTTGAATTTGTTGACCCTACCACTCAGAACCCCCCACCCCAAAGGACTGTGTTATATCTGCGGTATAGCTAGAATATGTGCTGCCCGGATCAGTTCTTGAATTTTCTACTGGCAGCCCTTGAATTTGTTGACCCTACCACTCAGAACCCCCCACCCCAAAGGACTGTGTTATATCTGCGGCATAGCTAGAATATGTGCTGCCCGGATCAGTTCTTGAATTTTCTACTGGCAGCTCTTGAATTTGTTGACCCTACCACTCAGAACCCCCCACCCCAAAATGCAACATATTGTTGCAAAATAACTCCCTCTTTTTTATATATATGTTCTGAGTGGTAGGGTCAGCAAATTCAAGGGCTGCTCAGTAGAAAATTCAAGGACTAGTTTGTGTACCATTATAATATTACTTTCCCATACTCCGTGGCTGAGTCAGTATAAGCATGTTGGATCTAATGATTGTTTTTCCTGCCAAGGGAGAAGTAGGTTTGAAGACTGCTGAAGAGCACTTATTTTTCTTTAATAAGTTATCTCAAGTATTTAGGTCAGTTAACAGAAATAAATATACTGTTTAATAAATAAACTGAATGTCTACTCAAATATGGGATATTCCCCTACAAATAACATTTAAGTAATAATACATACATATATATATATATATATATATATATATATATATATATATATATATATATATATATATCGCACAATAGTGCACAAATGTAATATAACAGAGCTATTAAGTATATATTAATAAATATACATATTGTCCCTCATCGCTAGCATGACTTGAAGTTTCATGCATGACAATCTTCAGGTGCTGGGTAGTATATATATATATATATATATATATATATATATATATATATATATATATATGTGTGTGTGTGTGTGTGTGTGTGTGTGTGTGTGTGTGTGTTTAACCAGCATATCTTCATTCAAAAATGTGTGGTTGAATAATCTATACATATTATGTCTATTTATTTTTATTTTAGTCCTCTCAAATTCACAGATCAATTTTTTAATGTTGTTATTAGACTTATTAAAGAAGGTGCCATAGTCCTTTTGATTTCTTCTATTTTCCAAAGCACTTTTAATCTCATCCAAGATCAATTTTGGGGGTGAATTGCTAAGACAAAAAATTGATGTAATTGATAGTTGTGAATTTTTTTGTAAATGTGCATGAAACATACTCTGTTAATTCAAAAATTAATATTATCTAAGTCTGCCTTGGTATTTAACCCATAGCTGGGGGAGGATGGATTCATACCTTTTTCATGGACACACACACGTGTGTGTGTGAATATGGATTGGATTCCAACAGAATGACAGGATAAAGAACAAATAGGAAATGTAATCTAACATGCAATTTATATTTGTAAATAATCATGAGGAGAGCTGTTTCAAGACTTCATGGCACACTGTGCACCATTTCTCTGTCAACAATTCTTTCAAAAAGTGTGGTTGGTTCTACACAAACCTTCACCACTATAATCAAGTCATCTGTATGGGTACTTTAGCAATTCAGTCCTAAACTGAACAGTTGGACCTTCCTATGTTGAAATTTGATAAGAGGCCACCATATATAGAGAGATTTTACAAAAAATGTATCAAGAATTAGATGCAAAAAAAAGACAAGAAATTCTGAGTACAGATTTATATATCAAAAAGTATTGGAACTGTTGCTATGGTAATGGAGCTAAAGTACATGAAGTGATGCTGATTGACAAGAACTGATCTTGAACTCTGTTGTTCTCACTCACTTCCATTGTTTATAGCAGTGCTTGGAAGGAAAGTATGTAGAGTGTACCCATCTCACCCCACACCACAGAGGTTCCATCAGTGATCATGGCTTGTGCAGTAGTTTTTGGCCAAGTACAACATTCCCCAGGTCTGACAACCACTATATTCCCCAGATCTCGCCCCTTGTGACTTTTCCTCTTTAAAAATCAAATCCCACCTGAAAGAAGAAAAATTTTAAGACATCAAGGAAATCCAAGAGAATGCAACATAGCAACTGCTTACTATTCCAAAAAAGGAGTTCCAGGAATGCTTCCATAAATTGAAATGACATTCGATAAAATGTGTGGCTTCAGAAGTGGGCTTGTTCTAAGGAGATTAAATTGATTTCTTTTTATAGCACCAGTTCTGATACTTTTTGATCAGACCTTATATATCAAGTGAACTATTTTATTTCATTACTAATAATTTAATTATATATAAATATAACATGATATATTTATATAATATGAATCATTTGCCAGACATGATATACCATATATTTCTGTGTATAAGGCAACTTTTAGATAAGATAGGGTCAAAAAATATAGCAAATTTTCATGAATTTATCCTATACATGTAACATAAAACAACTGCTTATTGATTATATAAAGATGATATTATTAGAAATTTTGTTACTGTATCCTTAGAAATTCAAAATAAACAAAATAGCAAAACCAATTCTATATCATGTTTTTCCAACATGTCCCCCAAAAGAGAAACCATCGTTTAGTTTACATTTCATCATGTGATCTCTTGTAAATACTGATTCTTCTTCTTTTTATATTCCTATATCTAAACTGTTACATACAGCCTGGTTTACTCACCAGAATCCATCTTGTACATTTATAAATCTACCATTTGTCTGTGCCTTGAATAGTCCGGTTTGGTGCTCCTACTATATATATCAAGGTTCTAGTCAAAATTCAAAGTAGGGTCTGTCATGTTATCCATCCTAACTTGGCATCTTAGCTTCAGTAATTTTTGCATAGGCTGTAATATAATATACCCTGTGACTTTTCTATAAATACTTTCATGGCAATTGCTCAGATGAGCTTTCCTCTTTGGTACCTCGACTTCATGAATATAAGTGTAGTACTAGATTGGCAGCTAGGTCTCATTATTTTATTGTTGAAATACCTAAAAGTAACTATAAATTCTATTCAAATTGTTTCTTCTTATACACTTCTTGCCTGTGGAAATCTCTTCTGGTTTCCTGTCAACTATGATTTTCAAAAATTTTAATACAACATCAATTACCATTTTCTGTCTTTTTGAAAACTGTTCTTTTATTCTGTCACTTCACAAATGTAACATTTTTACATTTTATATATGTGAATATAAAATGCATTTATTTTACTTAATTCTTTCTAGATCTCCACAAAATGTGTGTGTATATATATATATATATATATATATATATATATGAATAAAGACA